CAAGTCTCAGAATCGCATATAAATAAATAAATAAATGTCTATCAACAATTTGAAGAAGAAGAAGAAGAAGAAGAAGAAGAAGAAGAAGAAGAGGAAGAGGAAGAGGAAGAGGAAGAGGAAGAGGAAGAAGAAGAAGAAATAATCTCAATCTCCAGAGCTGAACAATCTGAACAGGACCTTCCTTCCTATCTTCCTTCATTTTTCCAGTTAGTTAACTATTTATGCTTCAACCAAAAATGGTGGGAAATGAAGTTTAAGAGCCAAAAGGTGTATCCATACCACTTCCCAGGGACACAGAGACTGGGACCTTGTTGGCCTTGGTTGACACAGGGTGGCGGAGCCTTGTAATCATGCCTGCAATGAAATAGCATCATATCATTGCACATATCATATCACTTCACATAGCGTTAGTTTATAATTATTCTCTCTCCAGAATAGTTGAGAGGCAGAAAGAGAATCTGTTCTGACTATGTTCATCTTGTAATTGTATTAATTTGCTTGACCTGACTAGGTTAAATCCAAAACAAAAGTTAAGAGTAAATCGCTTATCTAATGTATGAAATATGATATGTCAAGAGCTTTGTAATGTTGTGAACAACCAATAAAAAAATAAAAAATTAAAAAAAAAAAGAGTAAATCGCTTAATGTGATTTTTTAAAAAATCTGTCGAAATTAGTAGCTTGATGGAATCTTTCACTTTAAAATTTTTTTCTATTTTTATTTTGCTGTGTCCTTATAGTCCTACATTTAAATAGGTGTACAAACAGTACATTCATTTGGCAAACATTTCAATGATATGGAAGGGTATACATTAAAAAAATAAACCACCTGTCTTTTTTTAAAAAAAAAATTAAACCTATTACCAAATTAAGCCTGCTACTAAGTTTACATAGCATTATGGTAAAGCTTGGTTAAAATCATTATAATTTTTACAGTGCTTTGAAAGAACCCATTCAAAATGTAAACAATTCTTCTTTCAAATTTGGGGTGTTTTCCAAGTTCATTTTTCTTCCTTTTTCTGGGCATTTGTTGTTGTTGTTTTTTATTTATTGGGGTTTTTTTTTTTTTTTTTTTTTGGTATGGTGGTGGTACTGGGGATTAGTGTTTGCAGGCAAGCACTCTACCAGCTGAGCTATATCCCTAGCCCTTACTACCTACTATCTTCAGGAAAAATGCAGGCCTAAAATAATATGGATAAGAAACTTTTAAGAACAGGTTCCAGTTAGAACTGATCAGTATGGACAAAATGACCTAGAGTTGTCATGTGCAATAGAGGACTTTAAAGTTTGATATCATACTATCAATCAAAAGTCAAGAGGTGGGGGCTGGGGATATAGCTCAGTTGGTAGAGTGCTTGTCTTGCATGCACAAGGCCCTGGGTTCAATCCCCAGCACAAAAAAAGAAAGAAAGAGAGAGAGAGAGAGAGAGAGAGAGAGAGAGAGAGAGAGAAAAGAAAAAAAAGTCAAGAGGTGGACCTGGGCAGGACTCTGGAAATTTCTCTGAGATACCAAATAAAATAGGAATACAGTAGAGGCACACATTCCCTCTCTTCTCTGAGAGAACCACTCTCTCCCTTGAGAATGCCTCCTTTTCTCCTTTCCCATCCCTTCTAATAATCTTACCATGTTACTCTGAGTGACATGTCTGAAATTTTTCTGACTTAATCACAAGAGTCAGGGTTTGAGGAAGGGCTTTTGGATGGCCTCAGTTTCCCAGAAGGCACCAGCCCTGTAACAGCGGGAGGTTGGAGTATGTGTGTGTGTGTGTGTATACATGTGTGTATGTGTGTGTATGTGCATGTGAAGGGGGTGACCTGGAGCCCTGAGCTTCTGTGCTTCAGTATATCTTTGGATGTGTGTACCAGTGTGGATAATGGAGTCTACAGGGGACCCACGTGCATGCAAGTGTATATGTGGGTGTCTGTGTGGGTGCCTCTGCCTGTCTAAGTGGGAGCATTCATGTGAAGATGGTGGAGACACAGTGCAGGTACACACCGAATTCCATCCTGTTGTGTACATAGGATTGGAGGGGAGGAAAGGCAACAGAGCACACCTTGAAGTGATGCATTCTGAACTAACTTTGCAACTTTTCAGATTCTGTGGGGAGAAGACTTGCAAGGAGAAAAAAGCCTTGAAATCTTTTGCTGGAAGTGTGCCCAGAGAGGGTTCTATTTGTTCACAAGTAACATGTGCATGTTTTTGTTTATCTGTTTGATTGTTTGCAGGACAGAAGAGACTCTTCTGGGGATCTTCAGCCATACTTTATTTCAAGAAGGTAGAATGTCCCCCCATGACCTCATGCTAGGATGGTGAATGCCCCTATAACCAACAAGCAGTAGATGGACACTTGCCTTCTTTCACAGAACACTAGCCCTGGACTGACTATCAATAGAAAGTGAAAAACAAGGAAGAAGAGGGATGGCATAAAAGGAAAACTATGAGGAGGAGGAGAATGAGCATACTTATTCCACCCAGGTATTTTCTTTTTTTCATTTTAAAAAATTGCAAATAAAAAGTTTAATTTCATAAACTGAGTTGATCATTTATAAATACACTAAAGGATAGTCCACTCAAATTTAAATTAAGTATACATACAGTATTTCCATAAAATGACTTTTCTAAAAGGTCATAGGCAAATGAGTGATTTATCTCACCCAAAATAGATTTGAAATGAGAAAAAAAGAAATCCTTTTTTAGATGTTAAAGCAAAAACTTTGAAGACATATTGTTAAAAGAATCTGACAACTGATATTTCAATCTAATGTCCTTGGGATTCTAAAATACCACAGAGATGACTGAATCTTCCCTATTGTAAAAAAAAAAAAAAAAAATCTAAAAGCCTAAGGCTAGCTTCACCCCTATAAAGTGCCACATGACACCCCCAAGTACTGTGTTAATCAGCTGCCTCCTTGGCTGTGATTTCAGCACCTTGGGGTGGGTCAGTGGACAATAGCAAGAGCTCCACTGTGTAGGAATCCTCAATCAAAGGTATGGAAACCTGATCAACAGGCCCTCTGTTGCATACTTGTCATGTTCTTCCCTGGCTAAATCCTCAGTGTGGATACACACTTGGCTCCAATCTCAAGAAACTCAGGATAAATAGTCAGGGATCTTTGAATAAAGATCAAAGTAACCTGTGACTTGTCCGAGTAACTCTGAAGGAAAAGACCTGAAATAGGAATGTTCCCGTGACCATGTAACCACAACTGGATATTCCATGACTCACCAAAGTACAGTTGTTTTCAAACACTTTGTATCATAAACAGCGTCCATTATATTCTCTTCACCTCTTTTCTTTTTTTTTTAGTTGTAGTTGGACACAATATCTTTGTTTTATTTATTTATTTTTATATGGTGCTGAGGATTGAACCCAGGGCCTCGCACGTGCTAGGCAAGCACTCTATCCCTGAGCCACAACCCCAGCCCCTCTCTTCACTTCTTGACATAGTTTTAGAGCCTGCAGTTAAAAACTGCTCAGTCAGGATGGCTCAACCTCCACTTCCTATTTATAGATTTCATTTGACAGCCACAAAAGCTGTTTTGTTGCAATTAAAGTAATATTTAACTAAAATACAGTACCCGACTTGTGGTTTTCACATAATTGAATAAAAATCCTAAAGGATATGGGCTGGGTTGTGGCTCAGAGGTAGAGCACTTGCCTAGCATATGTGAGGCACTGGGTTCAATCCTCAGTACCACATAAAAATAAAGATATTGTGTTCACCTATAACTAAAAAATAAATATTTTTAAAAATAAAAAGCCTAAAAGATAAAATTGTTTACATCTTATCTCCATTCTAGTGAAACAAATTACTGACTCCTAACTTTTAAAAAAAGTTGCATTTATGAATTAAAACCTGATCATCCCCTTGGGACTGGGGTTGTGGTTCAAGTGGTAGAGTGCTTGCCTAGCATGCATGAGGCACTGGTTTTGATCCTCGGCACCACATAAAAATAAAATAAAGATATTGTGTCCACCTACAACTAAAAAATAAATATTAAAAAACCCCTCATCATCCCATTTCATAATTGATGAGTTAGGCTGCTTCTAGTGGACTTTCAAACGCAGTGTGACCTGGCCTGATGAAGAGTAAGACACATATGCATTACAGTGTGAGCAGGCAAGTGGCCCCAGACACTGCCCTCATGTACCACATAGCCCTGTTGGGTGCCACCCAGGGTATTTTCATGGATCTAGTCCAGGAACCCTTCACAAGACGGTAACCAACATACAGAGTGACAAGTGCTCACAATGCTAGGAAAAGAACTCACCACCCAGAATGCTGCCCCATGAGTGTGCATGTAGGACTTTTCCAGGGCAAAGGCAGATTGTGACCTATAAGTTAGTTATATCATCAGTCCATTCTAACCAGCCAGAGGGCCAGAGAGTGACCCTACCAACTCCTCACCCCCATCCTCCCACCACCTGTTCCCCAGGACCAAAGCAAGAGTCTACCCCAGGAACACAAGTGTGCAAGAAATGGGGACAAACTTGGCACAAGGAAAATGGAGATCCTCGCTGATGGTGCTCAAGTCAAGAAAAGTGAAGAGCCCTCCCTCTCCAGTGCATAAGAGTCATCATGATTTCCATAGAAGTCATTCTGTTGTCTTCCTGATCCTCCTGCTTCCTCTCAAGGCCTCCTTCCTACCAGAACCCAATCTCCACAAAGCAACAACTGGAAAACCAGAAGTGACAGGAAGAGAACAGATGGAAAATGAGAGAATTATATTGAAGCAGAAGGCAAGAGAGTGAACCAAAATACCTTGAATCTCCAATGCATAGGTGTCCCACTGAGTGGTATCCCCTGTCCTCCCAGGGAAGAGAGCCACCAGCCAAGGCTGTCTTCTCAGCAAAACAGGACCAGGGTGTGAACCTTGTGCAGATAGAGACCTGTTGCGCCACTGATGCTGCTGCTTCCTCCACACAGTCCCCCTGGCTGAAGTGGGAAGGCAGAAAGGAACAAGGGAGGAGGGGGATGGGGAAACACAGGGAACTGACAAGTCAGTCAAGGGCTCCAGCCCACCGAGCCTCACTGTGGGTCGCCTGAGTGTGAATGTGGGTGCATGCATGCACAGACCTGCTCCCCTCAGATTAAATGGGGATGCATGTAACTGAGGACATAGGTAAGCTCAGCTGTCCTCAAGGGTGAAAAGTGAGTGCATGCAACTCAATGAGCAAAAAAGATGACCTGTGACACTGAGAGGGGACATCTCACCACCTATGTCCACCTCCCTGCATGTCTTTCTCCTCAGCTTTTCTCTAAGCAAGTGCAGTAGGAGACCTTATGATTACTACAGAGAAGGACAAGATCCACAGTAGGTGAGAGGTGACAGGACAGTAGATGGAGGTGGCTCCTATTCTCAGGTGCATTTGCTGCTGGCTTTTTGGGGAGTGGATGGGGGGTTCTGGGGATTACTCAACCATTGAGCCACATCCCCAGCCCTATTTTGTATTTTATTTAGAGACAGGATCTCACCAAGTTGCTTAGTGCCTCGCTGTTGCTGAGGCTGCTTTGAACTGACAATCCACCTGCCTCAGCCTCCCGAGCCACTGGGTTTACAAGTGTGCACCACCGTACCTGGCTGCTGCTGGATTTTTGTTTCTTCTCCCCATATTTAATGTTGCCCTACTTTAAGCAACATCTTAGAGTAGAAGCATGAACCAAAGTTTGAATCAATACTACAGGATGCTGGGATGCCCTGAGAAGTTATATTATTTTGCCTAGAGTTTAGTGTGTTCTTACTGTAGCCTATACTTCCAGGAAGAAAAGAGACTTACAGCATATTGGAGAATGATGCACCAGGCCTACTGCTTTCCAGGCACTGAGTGTTGAGTGGAGCTTAAGAAACTCTCACATAGTGACCAAGAATTGACTTAACCCTTCAACTGGGTCTATCTTTCTCTGTGCACACACATACACATGCACACACACACACACACACAGGCATACTTGCACTAGCACACTCCCTCCTACCCATTCCCACTCTGCTATCTATCACCTCCACTTCTTACTTAATTTCCAGGGTGAATAATTAGGAGTCCCTAGTGCTCAGGTAGAGAGGGAGAGATCTATGCACCGGGATAACTCATAGGCCCTAGTCTCCCCACTTTCATAGAAGGCACTGTGCTTCTTGCTCTAACTTCCCACTTCTACCCCCCCCACACAACCTCCACCCCACCCTAAAGGATAAAGCACAGAGGGGACCTAGAATCACAGAGCATGATACAGACACCTGCTCCTGATAGGACTGAAGCATGCCATCCTGGCTATCCATGCCTAAGCCTTGGGGCACCTAGGGAACATGTAAGAATGTGTTATATTAACAAACAAAATCATGAAACCCACCACAGGGGACACAACCACCTGAGGCACAGAGGAGTGCCTGGGGTCCTATCAGGGAGGTACCCTGAGGGCAGAGGGAATCTCTTCTAACCACCCTGACCTGAGAGGTTTTGTGGCTTGTTGTAATCACTTCCACATCCCTTCCTGGACTTAACAGCTTTGGCCCTAGATCCCTGTTCCTTTGGTTACAGGGAGTTTCTACCCAGGGAGAAGTGAAGTGCATACAAAAGAAAAGGAGGCCCAGGTTCCTGTACAGGTGGGACATGTAGCTTCCTAAGGGAATGTAAATGCTCACACCCCCAACACACACACACACACACACACACACACACACACACACACACTCACATCCCCCAACCACCCTGGCACCTCCAGGAGCCAGTGGAGGACATTTGGAAAATACATGGAAAAAAGGGATCCCTACCAAGGGGTGAATCCAGAGGGAAGGAAGAAGAGGGCAGCCTTGTTAAGCCCCAAATGGGCCAAACTGCAGGACATCAGCAACCCTGATGAAGGGGGGGGGCAAAGGGGGGGTGCTGTGTTTGGTGCTTTTCAAGCCACGAATGGAGGAGAGGAGCCACGATGGGAAGTAAGGTAAGTAGTGACTGTCATTTGTAGAACCACGGTTCCATCTAGCAGAAATGGTTTCTGAAAAGCCCATGCACAAGGGACACTTACCTGTGCCAGCAGCCTGGCACCAAGTTGGTGTGAGATGGGAATGTGAGAGCAAGGATGGTCTGGGAAGGCTAGACTTAGGCCTAGCAAAGTCTATTTGACCAGGGGTCCAAAATATAGGGAGAAGACTCCATGCCCTCGGGACCCTACCCAGGGAAAGCAAAAGGTCCAGGAGCCCTGGGACCCTGCAGGCAGCAGCGCTACACCAACCAGCCCAGGGGGCGGAGCTTCCCGCAGAGCCATTTTAGGGAGGGCCCAGGAGAAGCTGCTGGCTGCTGACTGAGCCCAGGTCTGGCCTTGGGGTCTGGGGTCTATTTGAGGAGTTGCAGGTGCCCCCGCCTGGGGTAGCCGTGACGCTGAGGCCCCTTTCCTCGTCAGGAAGACAGCAGCCTTTGGCAGCCATGGCGGGCCGCCTACTGCCGGACTGTGTACCCTGGTGGAGGAGCCAGGGTTCCCTTCGACCTCGGAAGGAGCTCTAGACAAGTGCCAGCCAGGGCGTAACGTCCACCTTCACTCTGGATGACTAATGAGTGATGGCGGTGGCTATATCAGTACCTTAACGTTTGCCCACTGCTGGACTCTAATCACCAGAAACATATTCCGCTTGATGGCGGTATGACTCCATGAATCTCAAATATAACTCTATCCTTCCCTCCCACACTACCCCGCCCTTTGTGTCTTAAAAAAAAAAAAGCCTAAAACCTAGGAACAGAAATACTCATCAAGAAATGGGCCAACAAGCCCCATCCTGAACCTCCAATTTCAGACTAACTACTGACCATGAACCAGAGAGGTGGAGACCCTGCAGGAATTATTTTCCAGCAGCTTGGCAGCCACTTGCATTTCCCCCTTTCTTGGGAGGAGAGTATTTGGTTTAACTCCTGCTGTTGCAAGAAGGAAAAGGGCAGGGACACATCCTGGGACTCACTGTGACTCCACTCCAGGATCAAATGGTAGGCTGGCTCCCACATTGCCAGATGTTTGTCTTGGTGTCCTGGGCAAAGGGCAGATAGCTGATTATCAAAGAAAAGGAAATGGGTAGATTGTGCTTCCCATCAACCAGTTGCTAACACCTCCAGGGGATAGGAAGGATCATATTTCCCAACAGGAGCAATTACCCCCTGAGTAGCTCTTTTAGGGCAGTGTGCTGAAAAGAGAGGGTGGGGGTCTATAAGAAGACAAGACTCCCCCACTCCTGAGGTCACCAGCTCTGGGTCCTGGCTTCTTTCCAGAGAAGTCTTCTGTTCTCTCTCTTAAATAAAACTTGTTTCTATGCTTACCTCCACATTTCTCAGGTTTTTAATCATCAAGGGGGGGTGGGGGGCAACACTACTGGACAACAGTGCTACCTGGCTTATGGTTTTGCTGCAGCTCTGCAATTCTGGATTTTTTTCACCAAGACCTGGGGCTTAAGGGGTGTCCACACCACCTTGGGCTAGCCCAGCCAAAGCATCCATAAAAGACCACTGCAAACCTCTAGGTACAGGGTGAGAGATAGGAGTTACCCTGGGAGCAGGCAGCTAGCAACTTACTCCAGTCTGACTCCTGTAAAGTTGGCCTGACTTCCACCAGGGGAGGTGCATTAGGCTAGGGAACTAGGCTAGGGAACTAGGGAACAGAGGCTAATGAAGAGGATTCTTTCTGTCCTTACTACATGTGGGAGAGGTTGGGGGTGGGCTGTTTACCCAGGACTACAGAGTAAGCCCCCCTTTCACACCTTCTCCTCAGGCCTGGGTGATAACTTCATTTGTACTAGGAAAACAGAGTAGCTCCATAAATGACATATGTTAGAAATAATGAGGTACCATAAGAAAACAAACACATGATCAAAAGTGGGTAGATCAGGCAAAGTGATTTCTGCAGAATGCAAGCACACCTGGGTGGGCAGTCCACTAACATTTATCCCCAATCAGGTACTGCCTTTCAATCCTGATAGGAAGAACTCAAAGGTACAATCTACTTGATTAGCTAATAATAGAATTAGGGCAGACAAAAGGGAAGTCAACAAGTGAATCCAATTTAGGCTAAATAGTACATTTGGAAAATGAACCACCAGACTATTTCTCACAAATCCCATTTTTCTTTTTATACCTTTTGGTTTCATTTTCATTGCACCAAAAGTATTGTCATCTATCCTGGACATAAACTTTTAGAGTTGGAAATCACACCTGGTAATAAGTTTTCCCCTTTTTAGCAGTTCAGATAGCCATCCCAGTGATCAGGAGCACTTGGTAAGGTCCTTTCCAGCTTGATTGCAGACTATCTCTTCTCCAGGTCTTGATTAAAATCAAGTTGTCAACTCCATATATGTATGATATGTCAAAATACACTCTACAGTCATGTATATCTAAAAAGAACAAATAAAAAAATAAATATTAAGTCGCCAGGATGGAAGTGAGGAAATGCAAATTTGAGAAAGGAAGTCTGAGAAGCAGTTTATAATAATCAGAGGAGGTTCGGAAGACTTTCTTAAACTGAGTCAGAATAAACACATCCATCAGGCATTCCTGTATAAAAAAAAAAAAAAGAAACTTTCTTTATATCTTCCAGGTTTACTTACTCTTGGGAGGTCTGACATAAATGTACATCTCCAGTTACATTAAAAGAATTATTGCCCTTTATTAAATATTTGTTTTTAAGTTTTAGGTGGACACAATATCTTTATTTCACATTTATGTAGTGCTGAGGATGGAACCCAGTGCGTCGTCCATGCTAGGTGAGCACTCTACCACTGAACCACAAACCCAGCCCCATGCCCTTTCTTTTAAATGTCCATGTAGGACTGTAATTTTGGTTATATTGTCCTACCACATATTTAAAATCAAATTGGTCAAAACAGACCTTGTTCCTATCTACTGTTAAAGAGTCAGCTAAGATTTCTTAAAGATCAATCTCGGGAATGTGTGCAAAGCCTCTTGATTTCTTTTGTCTTCCTCTACCAGCTGTGCCATCTCCTAGGATGGATCAGAGTTCTACTGACCATGTGTGACTTCCCCTGGAAGGATTAGAGACATTTCCCTATCCAATTACCCTCCTTTTTGCAGAATGTGCACTGGTTGGTTTCCTGTTCTCTAGGGTCCTCTCCATCTCTCTGATCCACAGATTGGGTGACTCACCAGAGTTGCAGGGCCCAAAGAGGGCCCATCATTCTCTGGGTCCTGACTGACCTTAGAGGGCAAGGCCCAAAATGTTGGCTGCTTTTTCCTTGGCCCTAGTTTTTGTTTCAGTCTTAAAGTTGGAGTCCTATTTGTGATGACTTATTTCAAAATATACTTTAAATATATACTTTTAAAATATACTTTTTAAAAACACAGGAAAAAGTTATAAAGTTCTACAAGGAAAATACAAAATGAAATTAACAAAAACATTCAGTTTATATAATAGCTTTGAACAAAGAAACATAATTTTATTTATTTATTTTTTAAAATATTTTTTTTGTTATTGATGGACCTTTATTTTATTTCTTTGTATGTGGTACTGAGACTTAAACCTGGTGCCTCACACATGTGAGGCAAGCGCTCTTCCACTGAGCTACAACCCCAGCCCAAGAAACACAATTTTATAGTAACACTAATATAGATCTTTGGTATCTATTTTGCCTCCACAAATATCCATAAATTTCTCAACTCAATTACACGAGATGAAATGCATTCTGCTGTAGTGTATAACTAATTAGAACAAATTTTAAAAATTACTTAGACCCCTTACAAATTTTACTTTTAAAAAATCTCTTACAGGTCTGGAGATATAGCTCAGTTGACAAGAGTGCTTGCCTTGCCTGCACAAGGCCCTGGGTTCTGATCCCCAGCACCACAAAGACAAATAAACAAAAAAAAAAAATCTCTTATAATGTTATAGTCTTTCATAATTTACAAAAACCTTTATGTAGCTTTGCATTATATCTCCAGGTTATTTTGAGATCATAGTAATGTTACAATAAAAATCCATCTTTTGAACCCAACTTTAAATAAGCTTAAATTTGGCCTACTTTAGAGCCATCCTAACATTGAGTAGTGTGAGAGGCGAACTTATGGGGCTCTTGACACAATAAAGATTATATCTGAAACATGGATCAAACAAAAACTAGAGCTTTTATCTTTCTTTTTGTGAAAAAATTTTAAAAGTGGCAAAATGTTTTCATGTTCCATATTGTTAACCTTTAAATTAATTAGGCTCTCCTTTTTGCCCTCCAAAAATACATTTAAATTTTCATCCCAGTGTAAAGAGAAACACAAAATTTTATATATCACTTATTGATGACAGGTCATTTTTATCCAATTACAACATATTAAATAACATAAATAAGTCCTCAATTAAATTTGTTATTTCTATATATGGCTGAAAGAGACTAACTGATAGAGACAGTTTTAGTTTGGAGAACACCAGTGTAACAGTGGTCCACTTTATGCTTTGTCCCTTGCAGCTCTGTCACTGCAACTTATTTTCAAAACAGACATTTTTCTTTCTCTTTCTCTTTCTCTCTCCCTGCTCCTCCCTAATCTCTCCCCCTCTCTAATCTCAAGGGAAACAGGATTACCTTTCTTCCCCATTTTAGGCAGATTTATCAGTCCTTGAGAACAGACCCACCTTTAGAACAAAGTAATCCACACTTTGGGGATGGTAAGAGAAGATCTCAGAAATGACTAATTCCCAAATTAATAAGTGAATTACAACTCCAACAGAGAACACATAGAATGTAGCCTTTGAATCATCTCTTTAAAAGCTCGGGGTCCCACTGGGCATGGAAGGCTGAGGCAGGAGTATCATAAGTTTAAAGCTAGCCTCAGCAAAAGTGAGGTGCTAAGCAACTCAGTAAGACCCTGTCTCTAAATCAAATTCAAAAGGGCTGGAGATGTGGGTCAGTGGTGAGTGCCCCTGAGCTCAATCCCCAGTACCACAAAAAAAAAAAAAAAAAAAACCCCCCTTTTCCTGCCGATGGGCAGAATCACAGCCTCTGGATAGGAGTCCTCTGTGTTTCTCCTTTGCTAGCAAAGCAATAAAACTTCCTTTTCTTGTTTCTCAAAACTATGTTCTCATTCTTGGATTGGCATCAGGGACAAAAGTGACAAGCTTTCAATAATACTATCACAGATTTTCACAGTATGACCCAGACATGAAAAAGGACTATGAAGTTGGTAACATTAGAAGTAGAATCTGCCAGCCATGGTGGACACAGAAATCAAAGGTTCAGGTGGCTATTCTTCCTTCATAGGGCAGATTTACTCCCATTATCATTGTTATGGGAAACAGACCAGTTTAGATGCAGCAAGCAGCATTCACTCAAAGAACTCCAAACTTTATTTTATACTGGTAGGCCCAGAGAACAAACTCCAAATTCTGAGCCCTGGTCCACAGTTTCTCACAACATTTATAGTTTATTTGGTGTCATCTTAGACCTGTCCTATCATTTTTGTTGTTGTTGTTGTTGTTTATTTGTTTGTTTGTTTAAATTCCTAATCTAAGTGACTGAAGACCTTGTGTGGGATCTCTAACATAAAGCATTCTTACAGAAACAGATAAGAAGAAAAGTCTCTTTTTACAGGCTTCTGTTAAATCTCTAACCTTCCAGAGGAGTGTTTATATTTCAAGTAAGTAGTCAGACTCCCAGAGATGGTTATTTACAATCCAAAAGGCAGGTTTGCTGAAGAAAGGAGACAGACAGGGAGGGGAACTAACCCTTTCCCTGGGGATAACACTCTTGTAATTTCATTTTACAACTGGGTCTAGCTTTGCCATCTCATCACCACTGTTTATTTCCTTGGTCAAATTTCATATTAAAGGAAAAGATTTGTACATATGGGCTCTTTCTGTAAGAGTGGTCCACTTCACCTTTTGAACATAGCACTTCCTGCTTATTTTAAAAGGGACACGATTTTTCTTTTTTTTTTTTTTTTATTGTTGGTCGTTCAAAACATTACACAGTTCTTAATACATCATCTTTCACAGTTTGATTCAAGCGGGTTATGAACTCCCAACTTTACCCCGTATACAGATTGCTGTATCACATCAGTTACCCTTCCATTGATTGACATATTGCTTTTTCTAGTGTCTGATGTATTCTGCTGTCAGTCCTATTCTCTACTATCCCCCCTCCCCTCCCCTCCCCTCCCCTTTTCTCTCTCTACCCCTACGATTTTTCTTTTTCTCTTCTCCCTTCCCCCCTCCCTAACCTGGAGGCCGAACCAATTGCTAAAGTAACCTGTCCCAGGAACTGTCCCTCCTTGCCAGGGAGTTGTTTTAAAAATTGTTAATTAATGCCTCCTGGGCTGCTGCAGGGAACAAGATTACCTTGAATTATCTGTCCTCTACAGGAAGGAGATGTCAGATTAACAAGTAAATTTCAACACACCATCTGGACATCTGGAACACCCCCAACCCCCAACTTCTCACTGCCCCCCCATATCACACCCCTCACTCCACCCCCCATCTGGAATGTAGCCTTTGGATAGCTTCTGAGACTGGAGTCCCCTGTGTTTCTCCTTCGCTTGCAAAGCAATAAACTTGTTTTTTTCAAAACCATGTCTTTATTATTAAAATTGACATGAATTGACATCAGCAGGGACAAGGTGATGAGCCCAGCCTAATTCCACCTTAAGATTGGGAGCGATCTCATCACAAAGTCATGAAAAGTTAATTTCTGTTTTACTATAAATTACTGAAATTTCTAAATTTGTTTGGAATTCCTGCCCGTGCCTTGGACTCACCCATGCCTGGCTTTCCCTGCCCAGATAACAACCCTCTCTAATAACTTAGTGGTGCCTCATAAATCCTGGCTCCCCCTGACCCTCTCTGAAACTTCAGTGGCACCTCATAAATTCTGATGTTGGGATCTAAATTCCCTACCTTGAAATGTTAAGCCATGTAGATCATTAACCTACTATCTGCCTTTGTATTATGCTTTTCAAAATTATGTTATCTGTAAGTTCTCCAGTTCCTTTGCAACTTTTTGTGCTATAAAACTATGCTCCTAGAGAGCTGGGGTACTGTTCTCTAGCCCAGGGTTTTTGGGAGTGACAGTGCTGGGCACAATTACAAGCTTGCTTTAATTTGATTTAAAATTGGAGTTGGTGGTCTTTTCTTTCTGTCTTGGTTTAACACAAGGACTGAGCTTTCAGTAACAATTCCATTGTTCTTAACCATCCCTAGCCCTAGAATTTTTATTCCCCATTTTTAGTAGTTCCCTATAATTGAATTTTCCCTTGTGTATTTAATTCCCCCCCCCCCACACACACACACCCTGTATTCAATCCCTGTTTTGGAGGATTTCTTGCACACACTGGGGCTTTACCATATGTCCTACCCCCCTTTTGGGGGATTTATTGCATATCTTAGGTCCCTGTATGCTCA